TCGCGATTTATTTTGTTTTTGTTTTTTTTGGGATTTGTAATTTACGCGAGTGATCGTCGCGACGCTTTCTTTACTTTCCGCACTTTAATTTTGCCGTATAATATTTTGTCATGTTTGCATGTTTTACCGTTAGAATTCCCTCCGAAGGAATTAGGTCTAGTTGTTTGACCGCCGAGTCAATAACCCTAGTTTTAGCCGTCTCAAACCCTAATTAACCTAGGCGTCCCGCCGTGGACAAAAATACCCTTTACCCTAGTTTTAGGTCAAAGAGTCGCCGTACTTTGTTTTAGGGTTTCCCGCCGTGGAATCCCTAATTTCAACCCTAAATTTTTAATTAACAAATTCAACGTAGAAATAGGAGTTTCAAAGACTCCACGTAAGCGTGTCCTTAAGATACGTTTATTCCCCATTGAAACCTTGACCACAGTCAAGACGTTTCTAACCTCCCTTTCGAGGGGAACTACGATTACTCTGATTCCATTCCCTATCCAGGATACGTAGGCACAAGACGCGACGTCTTGCCGAGTAAACTTAGGACTAACCCTTAGGTCTTTAGGTCACTCTATCCCTTAGCAATATATTTCAAACAGATAATAAAATAAAAAAGCATACAATAAACAAAAGGTTCCTGTAGAGTACTACAGAAGTCTAGGGTGCTAGTACCTTCCCTAAGCTTAACCAACCCCTTACCTAGATCTCTTCCTGCATTGTCTTTACGATGCAAAATTAGGTTTTCCTCTTTTGACCTTTTCCTTCGGATAAATCAAAGAGCGGTTGTGAACTAAAGATGCGATTCAAATTAATTAATAATTTGATATCATATTCTAACCGCAACAAACCTTTTTTACTTTCGTAACAAAAGTTAAATAAAAATTCAGATTTTAGAAGAAAAAAATGTTCGAATCCTTGTAACATATAAGAATAACCATATAGATAGTCATGAGTTAGGTCTCATGACCCTTAATCCATAGGGAACTACTCACTCAGTGAGAAACAACACAAACAAAGCAACTTTACGATCAATAGCCATTATAATAACAACAATAAGAAGAAAAATAGATAAACAATCGAAATAACTTGAATAATAATAATACTTGCAATAGATGCAATCTTGATCCAAATGCTCCAAGGAGGCTTTTACAAAATAGTCGAAATTGTAGAAGAAAATAATTGTACGGTAAAAGCTTCATGCCAAAAACTCATACTACCTATGAGACCTATGAGTTTTATAGCATTCAAACAAAACCAAGGAATAATGTTCAGTCAATGCCCTCATAATATCATATCCATCAGATCAGCAATATGTTGGAAATCCCAAACGTTAACAAATCGAGTCGAGAAAGGAAACAAAAGAGTGAAAATATGCCCTCCTGTTACGGGCCGTAATACGCATTACGGGCACCCGTAACAGGTCCCAGAAATTTGACTTGTGCGCTTTTAAAAGAGTTCCCTTTGTCTTCATGTTGTTACGGGCCGTAATACGCATTACGCGCACCCGTAACAGCCCCCTGGTTTTTGTATTGGGGAAGCTCGGTTCTTGCGTTTTTCTTCGTCTTTCACCCGATTTGATCTTCTTTCCTTCTGGTATGATTATAAAGACCTAAACATGGCAGAAACATTGTACCAAGGCATAAGACGTAGAAAAAACAAAGAAAACTAAATAAAACTAAATGAAATTACGAATAAAAAGTGCTAATAAAAACGATACAAAAGCCGCTTATCAATTTGACATTGAATATTTCTATCATTAATCATCAATTTGTTAAAATAATTAATTTTCATTAATCATCAATTTTCAATATATTTCTTTCATCCGCAAAATACACAAAACCCACCACCAAAATTGCTTATCTCTTATCTTATCTCAAAATAAAAACTTCATAAATTCATACATCAATCAACCATGTCTTCCTCTTATATCTTCAATCTGTAATGTCACTTTTCCTTCATTCTTTTTTAGATTTTCAATTTTAATGATCTCTATTATGTATTTGTTTTATGTTTTGTGTTTTTATGTTAAATCGATCATGGAAGACGTGGATATCGTTGGAAAATAAATTAGGTGAACAGGTTTTAAAAATTTTATATGTAAACAAACACATTATCAAGTAGGCAAAGATCACAGCAGGAATATCACAACGTTGCATCATACTAAACTTATATACCTATATAACCTAAGATTTTCCAGACGTATCAACACGAATGCACAATTTAAGACCTTGGCATCACTTTTTCACCTCAACAATATCCACTACTTAAAAATGATGCCTTCCAAAGGCAGTTGGTCGACTAATAATTTTTCTCAAGTTAAAAGTCAATGCAGGTTTCGTGGCAGTAATCTCTCTTTGAGATTTTCCATTATCAAGATTCGCTAACTGCTGAAAACATACACAACAAAGCAACGTCAGACACTTAGTAGCTAATATTTCTACCTTCATTGTTTCTTTATCCTCCTCCCTATTTGGATTTTCTATGTTTTTTTTTTGGATTTGGGTTTATTGAAGAAATGAGATTTTGAGTTTCTAGGTTTAGGGGTCTGTTGAAAAAATTGGATTTTGAATTTCTAAGTTTAGGGATTTTTGGATTCTGGGTTTACGGGTTTTATTTTAATTTGAAAAGATAATGTTAGCGGAGATGAAAGATTGAAGCAAGTGGAAGATTTGGAGATTGTGCTTCTTGTGTTAAATTTTCATTTTATTTGTTATTATTTATTTATTTATTTAATATATCTTATGATAATGCAATTTTAATATGAGAACACGACAATGAATCTAAACTAATAGATTTTAAAATAAATGGGGTAGATTATGTGTGGTTTTTATTCTCTCTCCTCCATTATTAAAATAAATGATGGAGGAGAGAGAAAAAAAATCACACAAAATCTCCACCATTTATTTTAAAATCTAATGGTTCAGATTCATTATCATGTTCTCAAATAAAAATAACATTCTCATATGATACGTTATATATATATATATATATATATATATATATATATATATATATATATATATATATATGTATGTATGTATGTATGTATGTATGTATGTATGTATGTATGTATGTATGTATGTATGTATGTATGTATGTATGTATGTATGTATGTATGTATGTATGTATGTATGTCACATCATTAAAGCTAATTTTTTTTCAAAATTTAAAAGAAATGATTAAGTTAACTAACAAAATTATATTTAAGGGACTAATCTATAACTTTTATTAGATAAGGGAATAAAATGAAACCTAAAATTATATTTTTAAGAGACTAATCTATAATTTTTATTAAATAAGTGAATAAAATAAAATTTGAAATTAAGTTTAAAAAATTCGATGTATATGAGTTTTTACAAATCTTTTAAAACAAATATAAAAAAAATTTTACACCTGTTTTTTTTTATAAAAAAAACTGGTGTGAAATCATATAAATTTCTATAAAGTTATGATTTTATACCAGATTTATTTTTGAAAAATCTGATATATAATCATACTTTTTACATTGAATTATTCAAATATGCTGCATAAAATCATAATTTTTTAAAAAAAAGAAATAATTTTTTACAAGTTTTTTCAAATATGTCAGATAACTACTGTATATACCGAATTTTTGAAAAATCTATTAGTGTTAATTTTTTACTTAATGAAAATAAACTATTGAATTTAAAAATAAAAAAAAAACTGAAAAAAATATCAAAGATACCATATTTATAGAAAAGAACAAGTACTTTAAATTCCTTTTTTCTTTTGACAAAACTAATAAAAATACATTCCGAACTTTTGAAATACACTATTGAATTTTTTAATTTTACCAAAACTTTCATTTGTTCTATCAAAATTTTTATACCAATATTTTGATAAAATTTTGACAAGAACAACACAGGTATTATTGAAATATGGGGTGCCATTGTCCCCAAATTTAAGGGCAAGATAGATAACCACTAAACTATTGTGCCATATATATATATATATATATATATATATATATATATATATATATATATATATATATATATATATATATATATATATATATATATATATATATATATATATATATATATATATATATATATATATATATATATATATATATATATATATATATATATATATATATATATATATATATATATATATATATATATATATATATATATATATATATATATATATATATATATATATATATATATATATATATATATATATATATATATATATATATATATATATATATATATATATATATATATATATATATATATATATGACTAATTTGTTTCTTAAGATATTATTAAAAAATTAAGATCACAATATTTTTAGAATTAATTTTTAAATTAATACACACAAGAGTGATTTTTATATCATCCAAATATATTTTAGTAAACTAATTTCATGTAATATTATTTAAACATGTGAATTTTATGCGTATAAATATAATGTGTTTGAATAATATCTAAATGTAATTTAAGTCGTTGTAAATTTTATTTAAATGTTAATTTTCAATAATATTAAATATTTAAATATGTTTGAATGACATTAAAAAGTTATATTTAAATAAAAATCACCATTAATTCAAATGTTTTGAATTCAGACATTTTGATTATATGTAAGAAAGAATCCAATAGTTTAAGAAAAAAAATAGTATATTTTGAATGATATGTAAGAAAAAAATATGTTTAAATGTGTTTAAATATTATTATAATAAATTAATAATTTTTATTTTAAATATATTTGTTATTAAAAAGTATGGGTTAATTATAGTTATTGCTCCTCCTCAACGGAGCAGTAGTAATTAGGATTGTTGCATTTGGAACGGTACTGACAACATATTGTTCACTATAGCTAACTCGTATGACTTGTGTTCTCCAGTCAAACCAATGACGCTTCATAATCATTGCAGTCTTGTTTGACAGATAGAGGTTCTTGAGCGGGTTCGTGTTCATGTTTGGGTGATGCTTGTTTAAGGTTTGAAAACCAACCTTATTCTTTGTTAGCGAAATATGTGGGATCCTTATTGTGATTTTTGTAATGGTGTAGTGGAAATAGTTCTGCATGTTTTTCGCGATTGTTGGGCAGCCAACCTGGTTTGACACAGTTTGATTTCTCCGAGAAAGTGTTCGCTTTTCTTCTCCCTTGCAAGCGAGACCTGTTTACAGCAGAATATTAATCAAAACTGGAGTAATGATAGGTTGAAGTGGGATTCTCTTTAGGTCACTGCCTACAATAAATTATGACAGTGGCGAAATCTGCGTATCCATAATTCAGATTTTGTCCTACCAGTTTGCCTTGCTGCTGATATCAAGACCTCGTGGTTGCAGTATGCGAAAGCCATGCTTCTTAAGAAGCGGATGTTTCACTTTAATCAGAATAGGGAGCGTATAAAATGGCAGTCTACTGACATCAATTGGGTGACGATCAGAATGGATGGGATGGTTTGTCATTCTGGTAATAACACGGATGTCAGCACTCACCGTAGTGCGGGATGTGGGGACATGGCCCAGAAAGCTGTTTGAGGTTGGAGAAAAGGATTCTCCAAACCTTTAGGTGCTTGCTCCAACTTAATGACAAAATTATGGGGCCTGTATGATGGGGTTATGTTAACCAAAAATCTCAATCTTTCCAAAATAGAATTCTAAATGGATAATGCTGAAGTCTTCAAAGATATCACCAAAAGAAAATTGGTACGTAAAACTGACCTAAACTTGGTGTGCAAAATAAAAAAGTATCTCAATTGTATAAATTATTATTGTTTTAAAATTATTTTTCGCAAAGCTAACACTTGTGTGGATTAGCTAGCTATAGCTAGCCTCTCTTTTAATTCTTCAGATTATATTTTTTTACTATTCTCCTTCCCTCTTAATTGGACCCAACATATTAATTGGACCCAACAAGATGTTGAAGGGATTGGTTAGTGCCAGTAGTATAAGCTTTTATCCTCTTTGTACCTAAAATAAAAGTGTGAATTAATTTAAACAAAAAATTTTCAACTATTTATGATTTATGATTTAAATATATTAGAATAATATCTATATATTATGATTTTAGTAGATGTTTATTTTATTTGAAGATATATTATTAAGATATTTTAAATATTGTTAATAATTTAAAAATAGTAAAACAATATTTAATTTGTGCAATTTTCAAACAAAACATATTATCTCTATTGGCATAGCATCACCTTGAAAGAATTCCATTTAACAACCTCAAATGAATACGATGAATCTAGATGCTCATAATTTGGCACAACTACCAATCATACTTAGTTCAGTAAAAATCAACTTCCAATAGTATCATGCCATGCCATCTTCATCACATGTCTGTCTATTTCTCTTTATATGAAATGAAAGTGATATAAAAAGCAATCCGCAAAACGATGAATAAATAAATAAATAAAGTTATGGAAGAGGATAAGATCGGGAACCACAACAACTAAAGAACACAGCACACTGAAAACATAATACCGGAAACCGGTTCCTCACTTTTCAATGACGGTGGCGCCGCTGTTGAAATATTCGAAATTAAACCGCCAAATATTACCAGCTACTCAGGTCACCCACTCCCATTCCCCTTAACTTATTAGTACTCTCTATAAATAAATATTCAAAACCCAAACATAGTCATAATAATAACCCATTCGGATTCATACTCAACCCGACCCGATTCAAATTCTTTGTGACGGAACAGAAAACAAGAAAGATGATCCTGGTGGCGATCGTGGCGGAGGTGCTGGAGGAGTACACGGCGTTGTTATCTAGGGTGGTGGAGCAGGTGTTCCGTACAGCACCTGTCCCTCGACGGGTTCGTTTTCTGATCCTCCATAATCTTCCATTTGTTTCTTCTCAAAACAGGAGGATTCAAATTCAATCACATTAGCTTCCGTTTTTGTTCATTTGTTTCTTCAGAATTATGTTTTTGTTTTGTGTGACATTCTGCCCTACCCTACCTGTAAATTTTGGGTGCTCTTTTTCTCTAACATCAGATTTGACTTAGCATCAGACGAATTTTACAATTTTGGTTTTCGTTTTTATTGTGAATTTGAGGTTTCATCTGTAATGTAAATAATTATCGTAGTATTTCACGGTGATTATTCGTGAATTTCCGGTTGCGTGTAAAGAACGACTAGTTGTGTCCTGAAACTTGTTGATAGTGATTTTCACTGTAAGCTTGTAGCTGAACGAACGAGTGTGTAGAAACTTCTAAATCAGATTCACTTTATTAAATTCTCTCAATTTTCTTTATTTTCTACCCTCAAACATAAGAGTCAAAATTATTTATAAAAAACAAAAAGGAGATTGAATTTGATGATTGAGATGCCTTTATTCATATGAATTTTTTTTATTATTAATCGTTTCATGTACTCCAACAAAGATGAGCATAATGAGTAATAATTATAACCTATTTACGTGGTCCAATGCGATATTTCTTTAAATAATTGAGTAGTTTTCATTGAAAATTAGTTTTCATTATAGGATCCTCTTCATATGTATGTTTTGAGAGTGAAAAAACACTGCAAATCTGCTAGCGTGCAAGTCGAATAAAATGTTTTATAGACTCAAACAAGCTTCTAGAATATGACTACTCTCATCAAAGCATTTATGTTTTATGCACTAGGGTATGTAGATGACATATTAATCATAGGTTTCTCATCAAATATAGTTCACAAACTGATGAATTCCCTTGTCACATTTACCCTGAAAAAGTTAGGCATGCTTAAATACTTTTTTGGAAGATAAAAGTTAAAATTCTGAATAATGGTTTTATGCTACTCACTCTTCAAATGCATTTAGTACATGCTATCTTCGATAATCATGAGTAATGCCAATGGAGTATCAACTTCTATGCTCAATAATTGCAAACTAATGCTAATGACTCTAACTCTTTCTTGTTGAATTTTAATTCTTTGTATCAAAGTAGATTTTGTTCATAGAAATAAGGAAGTGTTGTCACCTAGGTGTCGAAATGTCGAAGAGTATCTCAGTGGTGTAAACATATGAAGGTAGTTTTTTGTTGTCAAGATCTTTGTGATCTTGTGAAGGAATGAGGAACACCACTTGTAGAAAGCACGTCAGATCAAGAAAAGACTGTATATAATAAAATGTTGAGAAAGATTATAAAGCTCTCTTTATAATTCATTAAAATGTTGTTCTAGACAATTTCGAAAAGGTTAATGATGTAGAATCGGCAAATGAAGTATGAGAAATCTTGGAGAAATCGTTGGAGGCACGAAGAAGGTGAAAGAGGTGAGGTTACAAACTCACAAAAGGACGTATGAATTGCTTCAAATGGAAGAAAGTGAAAGCATAACAGATTATTTCACTAGGTTTAAAAAACTAGTGAATCAAATTAAGGTATGTGGAGAAATGTTGACATCAAGATTAGTTGTGACAAAAATCTTAAGGTTATTGGCTCCAAAGTTCGACCACGTGATAGTACCCATATAAGAGTTAAAACATTTGTCAAGTTTGACAAGGAAAAACTTCAAGGGACGCTTGAATCTCATGAACAAAGGATGACTGAAAGAGTGGCAGACAAGTTGAAGAGTGATGTGGATCTGCAGGTGCAATCAGCTAGAGAAAAGATAGGAAAATGGAAATGGTTCGACAACAAAAGTAGAGTATGCTACAACAATTCGACTGGTCGAAATCAACAAGGAGGCTGGTCGAATCAGAGAAAGTCCTCATACCAAAGAAATCAAAGAGGTGGTGCAGTAGGTAGAGGAAGAGTTGGTGGTCAAAAACCTGATAAATGTCACATTTAGTGTTTCAATTGTCAGAAGTATGATCACTACTCTAGTGATTGTCCTGAAAAATAAAAGATTCGAAAAAATAATGCAAAGGGTGCAAAGCATGAAGAAGAAGAGATGTTGATGGTCATAACAAGAGATGAAGAAAGATTTCAAGACCAATGGTACTTGGTCTTAGAATGCTCATCACACATGATTGAGAGAAATGATTAGTTTGTCAACATAAAACCCTCAATGAAGAACATGGTAAAATTTACAAATGATAATACCATAACATATGAAGGTATTGGTGATGTTCTGATTATGAGGAAAAATGGCAAGAGGTCAGTAATCTTCAATGTATCGTACATACCAGACATGAAGAGTAATTTGCTCAGCATATGGTAGTTTGTCGAAAAGAACTACAAGGTGTAGATCGAAGACAAGATGATGAGAGTTATCAATTTAGGTGGAAGGTTAATCTTGAAAGAACCTATGTTTCAGAATAGAACCTTCAGGATTGAACTTAATGTGATGGAGTACAAGTGTCTTGCAACTTCAGCTAGTAGGGATGAATGGATATGGATATGGCACTACAGACTTGGTCATCTCAACTTTAAAGACATCAGAGATCTGAAGAGAAGAAATATGGTTTCAGGGTTACTAGAAATTGACATTTCAAACGAAGTGTGTGAAGAATGTGTGCTGGTGAAGCAGCACAAGAACAACTTCAACAAGAATGCAAGAAGCAAATCGAAGACAATTCTTGAAGTCATGTACTCTGATGTATGTGGTTTTATCCAAATGAATTCGATTGGAAGTAACAAATACTTGGTCACTTTCATAGATGATTTCAGTCAAAAATTATGGACTTACCTGATCAAGAAAGAAAGTGAAGTGGTCGAGGTATTTGACAAGTTTAAATCTATGGTTGAAAGACAAAGTGATCGAAAGATCAAGATTCTGAGGGCTGATGGTGGTGGAGAATATGTGTCAAAAGACTTCAACACATTATGTGAGAAAAAAGGGATTGTAAATGAGGTGACACTACTCTACACTCCATTAGCATAATGGATCTACAAAAAAGAAGAATTGAACATATGGTGAGAAGTATGTTGAAAGGAAATCATCTATCTAAAGAATTATGAGAAGTTGTGTCGACTGTAACATATATCTTAAACAAATGTTCGATGAAAATGCTAGAAGGAATTACGTTAGAAGAATGTTGGTGTCAAGCCTAGCTTGAGTCATCTAAAGGTATTTGGATTTATAACACATAGACATGTGCTAGATCAGTTGAGAAGAAAACTTAATGACAAGTCGAGTCAAATGATCCTAATAGGATATCATTCGACTGAAGGATATAAGTTGTTCGACCTAGTGAACAAGAAAGTAGTGATCAACAAGGACGTGATCATAAATGAGTTTAAGGAATGAGATTGGACTGAAAATGTAAAGAAGGATTTAATGAGAATCTTATGTGAAAAACCAACAAGTGAAGTCGAAAGAGAAGTTTGACATAAAGAAGAGGTCAAGCAAGCACAAGAAGACCTCAAAGAACAAGACACATGTGTGCAAGGTTGAAAGAATGTGTGATTACATTAAATGATATGGTTGATGATGAACCAGTCAATGCAAATGAAGCATTGAAAGATTAAAAGTGGGTGAAAGCAATGAATGAGGAACTAAAGTCCACCGAAGTCAACGACACTTGGTCACTTGTTAAATTGCCTCAAGACAAGAAGGTAATCGGTGTGAAATGAGTATACAAGGTGAAGTTGAATTCCACTTGAGAAGTAACTCGACATAAGGCAAGAATCGTGGTGGAAGGATTTCTTTGAAAAGAAGGAATCGACTTCGACGAAGTTTTTGCACCTGTTGCTAGAATTGAAACAATCAAGTTGGTTGTTGGTCTAGCAAACATGAACAATTGACACATATGTCAGATGGATGTGAAATGCGCATTCCTTAATGGTCCATTAGATGAAGAAGTTTATGTTAGACAACCAGTTGGATTTGTGAAACAAGGCAACGAAAGAGAAGGGTACAAGTTACATAAAGCCCTGTATGGACTTAAGCAAGCTCAAAGAGCTTGGAATAAGAAGATAAATAACTTTCTAAGGGAGAAGAAATTTGTAAAGTGCACAATTAAGCATGGAATATATGTAAGAAGAAGCAATAATGAATTGCTTATAGTATGTCTCTATGTTGATGACATGATAACATAAAGTTGCAAAGAGATCAAAAATTTCAAACATGACTTAAGTGAGGAGTTTGAAATGTCAAATTTGGGAAAGACTATGAATTCAAGTTGGGTATGGAATTTAATTCATTAATTGATTTCAAAGATGCCATAATTGAATGGTCACTATTAAATGGAAGGGAAATTACATTTGTCAAAAATGAAAGTAATAGGGTAAGGGTAGAATGTAAGGGCAAATGTAATTTTTTGGTTCTATGCTCTAAAGTTGGCGGGTCTCTAACTTTTCAGATAAAAACATGGGTGGGAACCCACACTTGTGCTAGTGTTTTAAACAATAAAAGTGCCAAATCCAAGTGGGTTGCAAAAGTTGTGGTTAATAAGATGCAAACATGTAGAAGGTTAAAATTGCTGACATCATGCAAGATATGAGGAAGAATTACTTAGTTGAGATAACACTAGGTAGGCATGGAAGGAAAAGGAAATAACAAAGGGAATAGTTGAAGGAGATGCTGCTAGACAATATGCCATGATTTGGAGGTATGCAACTAAGTTAAAAAGAGTTTGTGCAAGGAATACTGCAAAGATTAATGTGGACAAACCCAATCCTTCAATTCAACCTAGGTTTGGTTCTTCCTGCTTTTTCTTTGATGGCTGCAAACAAGGTTTCAAAAAAAGGGTTGTAAACCATTTGTAGGTGTTGATGATTGTCATTTGAAGACAACATATGGTGGAAAATTATTAATAGTTATGGAAAGAGACCCAAATGACCAATACTTTTCATTGGCTTTTGGAGTAGTTGAGACAGAAATCGAAGAAAGTTGGAGATGGTTTTTACAATTGCTAATGGCGGACATATGGCAAGAAAGAAGATATGTCTTCATATCTGACCAATAGAAGGTATGTCTTTTATTTGTTTGTATGTTTTAATTGATATGTTGTTAGTGTGAT